CACCTGTTTAAAAACCCTTCACAGATTAAAACAAAGTAGTGTTTAAAAGCAGTGTTTGAATTTCAAGCAACACTTGAACCCTCAGAATTTGTCAACCTAGAGCTTTCAGAAATGGTGAAAAAACTGTATCGAAACTGCCTTTCAAAGCATCCATTTAAGACAACGCCTGACATCCTGGAGATCAAGGGAAAGCACGCTGAACACCAATACAAAGGAAGTTTACTAAAAAGAAAAATCAAGTATTCTTTGGGAGAAAGATGATTTTGAAAGAAAACTGTGAGGTAAGTTCCAAAAACAAATCATGTCAAAGCCCCCTGGGAACGGAAAAGACATGCGATACAGAATACTCACAGGGGCCTGAGGACAAGTTGCTCTATTCAAGTCTTATTTTTACGCAGAATAAAACATAATTTATCGTTCAACTTTTTCAGACTTGAATTCAACAGTTATCTGAAAGGTACCCCGTGCACTAGAGTGTCCTATCAAAGGAGAAAAGCTTTGTCTATTAAAAAACATCAAAGCCTTCCTGGCATAAATTAGTAGGGCAGGCACTATTGCCAGTACATCTTGTGCTTTGTGCCTCTTCAGACTATTTCTGACTGCAGCTTTAAACTCAAGTTGGCTAAAAGTTCATAAAATGTGTCTGCGGGATGGACACGTGCCAGCTTGCACCACAGCCAGGGCATCAGGTTAAGAGCGGCAGCTAAACTGGAATTTATCCCAATTTCCTGAAAATTCTCCTGGCAAAAGGCAGGCAGCTGTGTTAACGGGGCCTGTTCCCTCTGCAGCGGTTTCAGAGGAGGATCTATGACAGAGACAGAGGGGGAATGGCCCCAGATCTCTCTCTTGCCTCGAGCAGTGTGACGCAGTTTCTCCCCATCAACTTCTTCACTCCAAAAACCCCACTTCCATCCCCAAATTTAGATGCTAGATATCTCTCTAGCACAATTTCTGGTTGAAGAATTTTGACAGTGAAAAATACCTTCCCTCTGCCATGAGAAGGTATTTTTGCTTTTTCTACCCCACAGACATGAAAACACTTGAGCCACTTTTATATGTCCTTAAAAAAATTGCACACAAGTGTGCTGCACATGACCATTACTCAAGTGCTCATTAAGTTAAATAATGTTTGAAGCAAAAAGTCTTTATAATTTTTCCTTTGGGCAAGCATCGAACTATTTCCACAAACAGAATGTGTTGGTGGACTCACATAAGAGATTAAAATACCTGGACCATCAACTTAGCTCATGAAAATTGCCGCTTGAAAGCAAACAATTTTGCTAGCTTCATATTAAGGGTCTCTACAATAGTCAGTAGCAGCAGCCTACATATAAGGTGCTTAGAAATACCTCTTCCACTATTTAATTTATTCTTCCCTTATTTTGCCTCATTCTTCTTCACAGAGCAAACACATCAGTTGAAGGAGAAATTAGCCCAGAAAATGGCACAGGACAAAACCCACAGTGGTCCCTCCTATGTAACAAGAAAGGCCACAGGCTCCATACCTGCATTGGGGTACCCACAAGAGCTAGCAATTTGATTGTTCAACATGTGAAAAACATCAAAAGACCTATACAGCTCATCTATGAATGAAGCCTTCCAACACCTTCCTTCAGTCCCCAAAGCAGACTCTCATTTATGAAATACAAACCATGACCTTGAGACAGCAATTCAGAGAAAGTAATTTTAACCGCTTTAAAGCAAAGGCAGATGATAGAACAAGACCTCCAGAAGGACTCTGCTGAAGATTTAGCTTAATCTGTTCTTTAAACTGTTTAAAGAAAACATGTGGTTGGCACTTGCACAATTCCAAGTTAACTCAAATACCTGGAAAAATAATAGCATCCACTGTGCCTGAAGGTTGGATCAACTACAGCCACCTGAAGAGTATTTTGCAATTTCAACAAGCATAGAAGCTTCTGCAGAACTCAGGGCTTTAAGTCCTGGTTAGCACAAATTCACCACATTTCTCAGCTTCTAACATGCCTTGGATCCATCATTTATTCAGTCCTAATCAGTTGAACACAGCCTTCAAATACCACTCAGAGTAAGTCACCTTGAACACTTACAGAGTGAAAAACAACTTTCTTGCTTGATTCAAGATTCCTGTAAATGTTAAAATAACTTCAAGTAGGGAACCCAAACAGTTAATCCCATTATGCCCTTTCCAGTAATTCCTTTCTAAACATTTAAGGGGTTAAGCTTTAAATTTAAATAAGAAATAATTGAACAATGAGCCCAATTCTAAAATATTAGATTCAAAGTTAAATTAATTTAATCAGTCCCAAACCCAAGCAGGTTTAACCCTGATCAACATTATCCTGATTTAGCACTACATTATTTCTTATAATGTAGAACTCGCACCAATATGCTAACACGCTCATTACAACTTAGTTCAACTCTTCATTACATCCTTCTGCAAAAGGTTGTAAGAATTAACCATTACATGGTTACAACTCACTTCATTAGCCCTAAATTAATAACACCTGGTTTCCAATGGATTTATGACTTGCAATTGATTAGCTCTGATTGAAGCTCTTCCCATGTTCAGAGCACACACAGGCTCACTGTGCCGAGTTTTCTCTCCTAGGTAAGACAGTAACTTAAAGGCAATTTTTCCTTCATTGAGAGCACTAGCACCTTTTAGGTCTCGCCCTTGAAAGAATTTCATTACCTTTAATGTTTCCATCTCTGCTACACTGATTAAAAATAAACCATCTCAGTCAGAGTTAAAGGGCTACAAATATTTAATTCTAACCCCACGGTTTTCTAGAAACAAAGCAGAAAAATCAGTTGACCATTATCCTATGATTAGGCAATCCTAAAAATAAGAGCAAATTTGAGCTATTACCTATCCAGAGATTCTTTCTACAATGAGGAAAAGGATGAACAAATTATATTCTGGAATACTACTTCGATTTTTATGTTCAAATGGCTTGTCAGCAAAGCTGTCTAACCATTGCTGTACTGCTATAGGTCAACATTTATACATAAACAAGTGAATTAGAATGGCACAAAGGCATTTGACATGTAACAGAGCAAAAGGTAGTTCTGCAAGATAAAACGTTCAAGTCAAAAAGTAAATTTGACTTCAGCTCAAGAGCTAACATACTACATTTAATAAAACAAACACGAGATATGTACACAGCGACACTTAATTCCTAATCCTAATATGACTGATAACCTATGCAAAATTTATAAAGTACTTCATAAGGGAAGTCCATATTATACCCATTTAATAACTCAGTGAGCCATGGAAAGATTACGTCACTTTCTCAGGGTTATACAGCAGGGTACTGCCTGAAGAAGAAAAACAGAACAAAACACTCAGGGCAACCAAACTGCAGTACTGGATCCTCTGAGCTATGCCAGCCCTCCTCCTCTTTTTTCATAAAGAATTACATTGATTGCTAGTGCATTGCTTAGATGAAAAGGCAGCAAACAGTCAAATATTTCCCTTCAGGCAAAAGAGGCAAGAGTCCTACCAAAAATGTTCAATCTATTTTATTCCATTTTAAGAACTGTTGCAGAGAAGATTAGCTAGGTTTGCCACACTTCTCAACTTGCAAAAACAAAAGCGAACAGAATTAAAATCTAATTTCACAGTCAATTTAAAAAAATTAATTTCCAATTTTTCTACATTGATGTAAACACACTTCAAAGATGTCAATTACAATGTCTTTACAGATATTCCTTGTCCTCCAATTTCTTTTCCATCCCAAATAGTGTTTATTTGCAAAGCAACTTAGTGTCAAAGGAAAACAAATACTAGATAGTTGTTTTCGTTAAAAGTAATTCTAATTGTTTTTTAAATGTTAATAAGGCCTCCACATAATACTAAAGGCTCCTGAAGAAAATTATTGCTTCTGAAAACCATAATATTTTTGAATAGAAAAATATCTCTGGTAAAATGTTGATAATGAAATTATAAAACATGTACTTAATGGAACTATAATTTTACTGCTTAACCGTTTTATACTTCACAGAAGAAAGATGGTAATTTAAAAACTCAGTTACTGTACAAAATACAAACATCACAATTCCTTAGCTAGACATCTTCTAAGAAAAATATTCTGTCAAGAATAACCAGGTATGCACACGGCAATCAAAAGTCACAGCAGGTTTCCGAAATCTGCTCCTTTTAAATACATCTGATCTCTATGCAAGTAATTTACTGTGTGATACTACACAGATATTCACAAACATCTACTTTCATCCTTCAACTTGGCACACATTAACAGAGGATAATTTTTGTCTGCTTATAGATTTGGGAAACTTAATATACAGGTCTTCATTTGAAAATATTTAAGGCACCATTGCATGAACTATCTTTTCTTTTGTTTGTTTTGCTGCAAACCACTTGAACTAAAAATTTAGGATGACAAAATTGTGAAATGCTGAGAAAAGGTCTAGGAGTATGCACACCTATATACTAAAAATATATATACACACACACATATATAAAGTGAAATTAGCTTAGTGAAGCCAGCTTGTTTTGGAAGTTAGAAACATATGAATACAAGGTCATGCAATGCCATTCCCATTTGTTTTATATGAAAATATGAGAGCATTTAAATGCCTGAAGTAATGATAAAAATGAAATGTTACTGATTTTTACAATAAAAATAAATATACTGCTTTTTAAGCTTTGGGATTATTTCAAATAGCATTTTATTATATCAAATAAAATAAGGATTCTATTTATACAGAAAGAGTCAAGTAATAAAATGAAGCCCATATTCCTTAGACAAGATGCATTCACGCCTCTCCCACTGGAGAGACTGGTTCAACAATTTTACAGTTAAACAGAATTAATTCTACTCTCAAAAATCCATTGACCTTAAGCTTTTAACAAACATTTTCAACTGCAGAGTGTATTGTCAATATTTACAAATCCTTAAAATTATATTTCACTAGAACAGCTTTTATTTGTTATATTAATATTTCCTTGCAAATGTATGCTTATCCATATCAGAGAAGAAGAAACAGCTGCTACTCACAGGAAATCTCTGGGGTCCTACAGCAGGTCTTGGCTGGGCTGGAACTGGCAGCAGGGGCACTGAAACAAGAAGCACCTTTTAACACCATTTGTTTTACCTAACAGTTGTTGCTATTATTTCCAAGAGCAGTTTCAGCAAGAAGCCACGATTAAAATCTGCTTCATTTACCCTCACATGTCACAGTTCCTACAATTAACTTTAAGCAACCATTCCCTCCCCGACAACATGCAACAGGGCAATTAGGATTCTCTGAGTTAATTTACATAATTTAATTCTGTATTTTTCCAGAATTAGATTGCTCCTTGTTCCAGGAAGGAAAACCAGAATACTTATTCAGCCAAAGACGTCTCTTAGACAAAGCTGACAGAGACTCTAATGATAATTCCATGTTTCAAAGAGAAGGATACACAATTAATTCACCTTCTCAACTTCATGCCCCTTAAGATTTCCTAGGTATCGCCCTGTCTCACTGCCAACCTTCCACAACAGGCATGGGCATCAGAGGCTCTATTTGGTATAAATCACTGTTGAGAGCAGGTTTTAATGAGGTAGCCAGTGACAATTAACAGAAAGCAAAAACTGCTTCATCTGGCCTCACAACTGTGATTGCAGTTTGTGTAACCACAGATGAAAGACCACTACTCCACAAAGAGATACCATGAATTAGGAGTCCTTCTTCCTGAAAAATAACTTGTCCAAAATTAGTATTTGAAGGGGAAAGAGGGAGAGGGATTAGTATGGATTACTTATCCATACAACTGCATTTCAAAAGACTAGTCACGGAAATTATTTTCCAGAACATACACTTAATATTATAACATAATACACAAAGCATCTACTGCTGCATCACCTTGCAGACTGAATCTGTATCTGAACCCCCAGTACAAAATGTAAAGACCAATTTCCCATTTTCTGGTGCAGTTTTTTTCCCTTCTCTGACTTGTCTAAGTGGTTAAAAGTACAAATGTTTCAGTATGTTTATATTAAATAAAGCATTTCAATCAAACAGCACTGGATCTGTTTGCTCATTTACTATAAACTTTTGCTAAGTTTATTTTTCTTCTACTTGTTTTCAGTATTTCTGAAAGTGACAGAAAAAAGTTTCCCACACAGGGTTACACCTGGACTTGGCAGACAACTACTGTATTACACTTCACAGAAGGAAAGATGTTAAGAAATACACTCAATTTCTCCTCTAAACCAGCTGCATTTCCCAAATGAGTTTGCTAAAATGCCTCAAAATTCCCTTTTTCCTTAGTAACTGAGGCACAAGAATTAATGCATTAATGGTTATTTTTAGTTCGTATCCGTGTCTGGCTTCTATCCACTTTTGTTAAGTACTTGTGGTTTACTAGTTTAGGGTAAACTAAGTGCACCAGTCTTTCAGCACCAAAGGACTGCACGCAAACTTTGCATCAGGTTACAGGAGAAAATTACTTTAAAAGTCTTAGCTTCTAATGAACCATGGCCACCTGGAAAAAATTGACAGGGTGCTCCTGACAGACCCAGGACTAAAATAGCTCAGGTATTACAGGTCAGAGAGGCACTGAGGAAAAAATAGCACGAGGTGGGAAATGTGGAGAAATGTCAACCGAACAGGGCACTCATGTCTATTTCAGTATCCTGCCTCTGGCAGTAGCATATAGAGAGATATATTTATATATTTTAAGTAAATGAATTTAATACTCATGAAAGACAGTAATCCAAACTCTGTGCCCTTTCAATCCTTAGACACTCGCTGAAACAGCAAAGAAGTCTCAAATAAACATTCATTTTCCTGATGTCAATTCTTCATAGGTTTGAAAAGCATGTTTCAAAAATAATACACAGCACATTGTTAGACACTATTTTAAAAGATTAAATTGCTTCTGACTGTAAATTCCAATGCTGTAACTGAAAAGATGAAGAAGCAATTCCCATATTGATTATTTAGGAGAATTATAATGTAGTTTTTTCCAAGACAGGAAATATTTTTTTTAAAGGTAAATGGCATACTAATCTACCACGAGCTGCCATAAACTGCTTATTAGTTCATTTCAATTTTGGCAGCACAACAGTATCCTTGAAATATTTGTTAATGGTATGAACATTAAGGGGAAGAAACTCAATACCTACATCCCAAGTTGAATTAGTATTTCATAGTACATGTATATACAGTCCTGTCCATATTTGTAAATTGATCATACTCAAATTTGGATATGCATTCAGCTCAAAATTTCTACTTACAACTCAAAACTGCTTTACAGAATAGGACAGAAAGAAAAACACTGTACGACAAGCAAACAACTAAAAGACATGTGATTCAAATGCCACAAAGGGCAGAGCTGAATGCCAACCGAACGGTATCTGCAGCAGGTACACACAGAGGCTCATGTAACTCTTCTAGTAGTTTTGATAGCGTCCTTCTTAACCATTTATGAAGCTTCAAAGACTAAAAACAGAAGAAATCCGGTTGAAGCAAAACTGAATTGAAAGTAACTATTTTTTTTGAACCAAGTTTCAAGGCTGGGCATGGAGAGACAATCATGAAATGGCTTGGCTTGCAAGAGACCTTAAAGCTCATCCAGCTCCAACCCCCCTGCCATGGGCAGGGACACCTCCCACCAGCCCAGGCTGCTCAAAGCCTCATCCAACCTGGCCTTGGACACTTCAGGGAAGGGGCATCCACAACTTCCCTGGCCAACCTGTTTCAGTGTCTTATACATGCTATTTTATTCACATGACAATTTCATAACAATTTACAGGATGTTTAAGTCTATTTTAGAAAATATATATACTCGACACTTTTTAAGACTACCTCAAACCAAAGACGTTGAGAAGGTATATTTCTATGATTTGTAGACAGAAAAAGTGTCCCTGGTGCTGACAATTAGAAGTATGTGAGTTTAATTCTGCCATAAAATTAGAGAGCAAAAAAATGCCAGCCTACACTAAAACATGACAGCACATCATTAAAATTACCAGAACCTAAGTGTGCACATCATGCACTTCCAGACATGGCATTTTTAGCTTCTAGGCATCACACATTCAACAGAATCTCCATAAACTTTGCACCTATCTGACTGTATTCTCCAATCTGTGAAAACCCTCAGGTATCTGGAAATACATTCAGCCATGAAGGGGCAGGACACCATCAAAAAGATGAAGTCAAACTGATCTTCCGTACTTACTGTTACCCTGAAATAAACAATGCTGCACACGAAACACATCCTAATGTTATCAACTACCAGTCTCTGCCTATTGGGTCTCAAGCAGATAGATTAAACTGAGGAGGACTTTTTAAAAGGAACTTTAGACCATCTCTCTCTACACTGGAATTTGTCTATCATATGCCTGCCGTGACTGCTTAAAAATTCAGCCTAAAATGGAAATGCCATTGAAAATTTTAGAATTATGCTCATCTTCCCAGAAGATTTTCCTTAGGGGTGCAAATGTAGAATTTCATGTAGCATAATTGTACTGCTGCAGACTAAGAGACTGAGATGGCCACCACTCAGGAACTGCAGAAAACTCAGGTTCCCTATACATGCACTCTGATCAAGAAGAATAAAGTTCACAGCGATCCAAAAGATTGCATTTAATAGCACACTTGCACACCTATTAGCAGAAATATTCAGTAATCTTGCTGAGGATTCCTTCAGTAAAATGGATGGCACAAAGGGATTTCATATGAACCAGCTGTGGTAAGTTTGGGACAAACCTGAAGCCACCTGATAATGTGAGGAAAAACTCAAAAAAAAAATGATACACTAGTATACTTTTGACTTCGGGCAAAAGCAAAAATCTTCAGTAAGCCATTGCTGGAATTAGAAGGAAACTTGTTCACCAAGATGCAGAAGATTTGTTGACTGTTTCATGGGAAGAGGAGAGATATCTAGAATCATTTTCACACTATTTTGCTTTTCACAAAACCAGAACCATTGCTTTGGAAATGTTATGAAAATGCCCAGAAGGCATAAAACCAAGACTAAAGGACCTTCTGGACTACTTCCAGATAATCTGTCCCAATGCATAATTTGGTGGGAAGCACTGATTTTATTAGACAGCAAAAAGTGAAACAATCTCTCCAGCACAGCGACTATGAAGCCATCTGTGAGAAGCCCAACAGATCTCTTATCAACCGGCAATATCCTATGCTGTCAAATTCTCACCTTTCATCACTCAAATAAATGAAGCAAAGACAGCATTGGCTTGAAGTTCTGCTGATTTCAAGGTGGGAAAAATACAGAAAACCTAATAGTAAATATGTATAAATGTGTATGTATTTCTCTACTTTGTCTAGTCCCAACAGAAACACAAACCAGGGTAATACAGGTGCTTTTTTTTCCCTCTTCTGAGGGACTAAACACTTCCCAAATAAGTAGTGATGCTAACAGCTCTGCTGAGAGCTGCCCTAAAAAGCATAGCCCAAAGAGTTCCTGTGTTATGGAAAAAGCGTACTTGCAGGCTACAAACCAAACAATCACAAACATGGCACTAAAAGGAGATCTGTGGGCATGTATCTTGTCACATAAGGAAAGCATCTGGTACCTTTCACAGTGCAATCACAGTGCAAGGAGTGCCTCAGTGTACTCTCACTGAACGACGTGGGTGGTCATTCTGTGAATGTTGGCTGAAGCTGGAATCATGTGGGAAATTATAAACTGCAGAACTTACCTAGTTTTGAAAACTGACATTTGCTACTTTTGAAAAGAACATTCTCTTTTCAGTTTCCATTTTTACTGCTCTTTGCAGGCTTTACAGCAGAATAACAAAGATGATAAAGAAGATGAAAAGGCTTTACTATTTCAGCTGGCCACAGACCGACAAAAAGCTCACCTTGTACAGGCGTCACTACTGTTCCCTTGAAATGTGGATTTATATGTATGTTCTTCGGTTGCTGAGGTGTCACTGGAGGTGGAGTCATCATTATTCTAGGTGTTTCTATCGGAGGGGGCATATGTAGCCCTGGAGGAGGAGAAGAATGATGCTGATGCTGTAAAGGAAGCAGAGATTGTAACTGTTGTTGCTGCTGCTGCTGTTGCTGCTGCTGCTGTTGCTGCTGCTGCTGCTGTTGGTGCTGGAACAGACTCCTAACAGGTTGCTGGTGTGTTGGAATTAACCTCTGTGAATGAGTCTAAAGTCAGACAAAAGAATAAAGTCAATGGGCTTTAAAGTTAAAATATCTGGACATAAACCAGCACAAAACCAAGACAGCTTTGGAGAACAATTAAGGCCAAATATGAACAGAAAAACTTCCTTCCCATATCATCAACTGGATCTGTTAAGAACCATCAGCACAGGAAAGCGAAGTAACAACAGAAGACATTCATGTGAAGCAGAGGACAGCAAAGAGCAAGGAAGCACACAGGGAACAGACATTCGTTCACTTATTTTTAATAGTGAAACTGATTTCACATGCAGGGTTCTGCGTATGTCACTGGAAACTGTGACCAACTGCAATAAAGTGTATGATGATCACTAGAAATCTGAGTCCTAGTATCAAAACAAATGCACTAACTTTTGCCTCATGTATAAAAGAGCCTCTGAGAAAACAGACCCAACATTAGCAACAAAATTCAAAATACAAATTAAGCTAGATTCTTCAGATATCTATGTAGCCTATCTATTCATACTGCCATTCTTTGAAGACACCTTTCAAAGCTACCTTTTGTAACACAAAGTCTCTAGCCTCTCAAACACAAATGGACTAAATAATTTATAAAAAAATCATTATCGTGTTTCTCTTTAGAGACAATCTTCTGCTTCCGAACTCGTTGATACTAAATATTAGTCCTAGTCCAGTAACTACCAAATGGTAGTGCAATAAGAGTTCCAAACAGGCAACCTTTTAGTAACAAAGATGTGACAAATCACTTTTTTCAGTAGACACATACATGAAGCAAAGCAGCTACAAAGTATGCACAAGAAGATATTGTAATAACCACAATATGTTTACAACATTTAAGATCAAAATAACTAGCAAAGACTGCAGCAATACAGAAAAAAATATTCCACCTTCACTGTTTGAAAAGCACAACATATTCTACTCTGGCTCTCAACCACTGAGAAATCCATCGACTCCTGCTAGTGACCAGCACCTAGAGTTACTGCTGATGGAAAAAATCCCCTTTGTTTAATACAGATGACCTTGTCCTGCAAAGACACACACAGGCTTTGTTCTACAACCTCAGCTTCAAGCACATTTGATTACAGTTAACAAAAATAAGCGTGTGCTACTTCTTGATCATATACTTGCTGGGTTGTTTGGGTTTGGGTTTTTTGATGGAAAAAGTGCCATCTTTTAATTTGTAATACAAAGCACAGCGGAGGAAAAAAGAGAAACAAAAGCTAAATTTCATCTGAAACCCCACAGTGCTGATGTATCTAGTGGTGGTTACCTTCCTAGGGTTTCATTTGCCTCCACAGTAGCATGGCAGGTAAGATGTTATTTTTGGAAGTATCAGCAAAAATACTAGTTTGACAAACACCAAGAAATATTTTACAAAATAGTATTTTTTAAAAACTGCTCTTAATAATGTGGGACCGAATATGACTCCATACTGCTGGTAGAGGAATTCGCAGAAGAATTAAACCTTTTCCTCCACCCTTATGCAAATCAGTAAGCAAGCCTGATTGTGCTGTATAAACTGAAATCCATTTTTCATTCAGACACCTTGAGATTCCTAAAGTTGAGGCTGGTAATTGGACTAAGCACAAACTCTCACAATCACCACATTATGTAAAGCCTGTCTTGCCTAACAGTGCCCTGAAAGAACAAGAAGTGTACACTGGAATACATATTCCACCTTTGTAAAGATTCATGATTTAGAACGCATTCCTCCATAATTTCCTGAAGGTATGTTCAAAGAATACTAAGGATTAAAGGTACCATCGTTGAAGGCTGGTTTGGAAGCAGTGCGGGCCTGTGATCCTTCATTCTTCCCCTATCGTTATTGTCTCTCCTTTGTTCTCCCATGCCATGGCACATAACCGAGCCTCCTCTTCGCCCTCCTCTCCTTGAGCCGTACCGGCCCTGTTTCAGCTGCCTTTCCCTCTCTTCAAATTCAAGTAATGCTGCTTTGGCTTCTGCAGAAAGTTCTGTTAAGAGAAAGAGATGGGGAAAAAAAAAAATTTTAGCTTCATGCTGAAAAGAGAGAAAATATCACAGAAAAAAAAACATCACTACTACAGAAGTGCCTCCACAACTAACAAGAAATTTGCAGGCACTTTGATCTCCTTTAGGTGGCATGTTAACATTTCATTAAAGACAACTTTACAAGGAAAAAGCACACAGATACTTGTGTCTGTTGCACAGGCACAAAGCAGCAGGTAAATGAAATGAACAAAAAGGCTGGTTTGTTTGCTGGTTTGGTTGGGTTCTTTTAATGCTACTGAAGTTTGCCATATGCGGTCCTCTGACATTTCTGTTACCTTAAACACCACCTCACTTTTCTGCAGGGATGTCAGGCTGTACAATGAAACCCCCAGTAAAATTTACATTTTGAATCTTCCGTATAAACAGATTTTATCCACCAGACTCTTTTGCACATTGGCCTGCTTCAAAGGAGGACTGTCTGAGCGCTGAAGTATTTTTACAGTACATAACTACTTAATATGTGTTCTACTGTGTTTGTTGTAAGAATCAGCTGTAATTTACAAATGATAATTCCACTTAAGAGAGCACACTTCAAAATTTGTTCTCAGCTCAAGTCAAACACAGGGACACTGATAACACCCCCCAACTCACATCACAGGTAGACACCAGAGAACAGATGGTACTCAACGTAGACTGCCAAATCTGCTTGAAACATGGGCCAACGCTGATAGCATTAAGAGAAAACCATACAGGAACAGGCCCAAGTAATCAAATTACTTGGAAACACAGAAAGTCTACAACAAATTTCAGGAAACAAACCATTACAGTACAAGCAATGTCACTCACCAGGTTTCAGCTACATAAAGGGGATAAACTCTAACCCAAACATGCAGCTGAGGATTTTGGCACGTGCCAGTCAGATCCCTTGTTACATCTAAAATTGACTTCTGCTTCTAATGGGGCAAAATTAAACTACAAGAAGAACACTCCTGACAAAAATAAAAACATATTCTGAATTCATTTAAATGGCAGTTAGTGGAAGAGTTTCAGTTATCCATTTAAAAAGTCTGCTCAGTGTTAAAGGAGACTGGGTACGTGGACCACTTTTCAGGACAAAGTATTTTTACTTGCTAATACTACGCATAGTAGCTATAACATCTGAAGTTCAGAATAAAAATAGTTCGTATTCAGCAGCTGAGACACTACTAAAAAATCTCCACATCACTACATATCCTCCATCAAGAATACATAACTAAAGCAATTAGAAGACTATTAAAATTTCATGCGAGTCTAATAGCCAAAGCTACTTAAACCACCATCTTAAACATCTTCATAAGTAATCTCAATTAGTCTTTGAAGTTGAGGATTGACAGAAAGGCAGAAAAGGGTGAGCGCCGCACATTCCCACTGCAGCAGTTGTTCTTCCTTGGCTACAAAAACGACCTGCACGACTGAGCTGCAAAGACTGCAAATTCACATGGCTCAGTTTTCAAAGGTATTCAGCACCCCCAGAAAGCAGGAGCTTTTTGATTTTTGAAATAAAAAGTTTATGACTAGCTGATTAAGAACACAGCAAACATGACAGACTCCTAAGAGCCCAGGATCTGCCACGTAGTTTCCTATTTTGATTCTGCATGTTGGTGATGATGCAAGTTTTTCTGCCCCCTTTTCTCTGCCCTTTCTGGCACTGCAATTAAGTGGCATAAAGCCTTAATTTACAACCACAATAGCTACTCTTACGAAATGCTACCTTTGCCCTAGCACCTGCCTTGAGAGATCGGCTGAGCCCAAGACTTTATCAGGGAATGCTCAGAGCACACTGAGAAAGGGGCAAGGAATCACACTTTCTCAAGTCTTAGTACGGTATTAAATGTGCACACTATGGATTTCTGAGAAAAATTAAGACAAACACTCTTGTCCAAAGCAATCAAAAGGATTAGATGCAACTAAAACAACCCTCTTATCCATCCTGAGCTGTCAAGGATGAAAAAAGGTGGTATAATAGGTAAAAGTAGAGCTCTGATTTCAAGTACCCTTCCTGTCCACATCTGCAGCAAGTTCAGTTCCTTCACAGGCCTGCAGGTATGAAAGGGCTAACACAGGCTTTTAGTTGGGCTGCAAGAAAGACAGACCACCAGCTTCTACATAATTATGAGAAGAAATGGTGCCACTATATTGCAAAGCAACAGTTTCCTCCCTTTAACCAGACAGGATCCAAATCCTGCAGGGCATCCTGGGCATGCTGCTAGCTGCAAAGTTCAATTTTGTTTTTCCAAGAACAGGACAGACAGAGCAATTTTTCTGCCATCTTTCACACTACAACCCTGAACTCAGCAAGGCAGTTTGGAAAGCAAAGTTCAATCGTTGCAACAAGTACCTACCACCGATATTCATTCAAGATGATAAGAAGCAATTTCCTATTGAAGAAGTTACATGTGAGGAAAGCAATTTTTAAAGAACCTGGGAATAGAGCTAGGCTTCCTACAAGGCAATATCATGTCTCAGACTGCAGCCTCTTGAGCGCATATTGAAGGACACTGAATAGAAATAACTTCAGCAGAATGAGGCTGCTCCAAACAAAACTACTTCAGAGGGCTGTGCTGATTAAGCTTGGGGAAGGGATGACAGCATCCAGGGCTTTTCAAGATCTTTAAAATAAAAACGAGTAAGTTGTCTTCCTACTCATTTTACACAAAAGTTCTTAAACTCTAAGGCTGTGTCTTTAAACACACAATCCATGTATTCAGTTTTTCAGCTGTAAAACTGGAAATTTATGTAACACTGACATTGGAAAAAAATCCCAACCAAAACAAAACCCCTCATGAATTCACTTGCAGCAAGTGTCATTACCTAGATACCACATCTGTGACCACAGCAGTATAATATAACTATTTGAGTTTAAAAAAGGGAATATAAGACTACACTAACATGAAGCACGCTTCCTCCACAAAATGACACCGAAGGCACACATCCAACCTGTGTTGACGCAAAGAATTTTGCTTACATACAGAACTGCAGGTTCAGAGCCTGAGAGATGGACTGCACAAGTGAAGACTCACACAGTGAACTGAGTACCTCAAATGCTTTATACTGCTATCAGTCACCACACAGCAAAACATGCAGTCAGCTCAATTATTGGGTGGGCTGTTTATCCAAATGGAGAGCATTATGCCACACATACAGAAATCAAGGAGAGGAGATAGTTGGCCACCAGTTCCTGCCTACACCAACTCTGAGCACAGGTCTCTGCAGCTACATCTGCCTTAGGTTGCTCCCAAGAGCAATAGCATTCCAAATCCTCAGGTCTGAGAATCCCAGAATTCCTCCTATGCTGAATAATGCAGAGATTTATAACATAAATCACATGCCAGAACAGCTATAAAATAAACTGCATATGCATTTACTTACACCTGCAATCTAATTTGAGAAAGGTAGCAAACGTTCTCCTTGTTTTAACTTTTTTTCTCCCCACCATACAGACTTGCAACCCGATTACATTACATGCCGATGTGCTTCTGCAACAGGACAACAGTGAAATCGTTCATTTTAATTTCCTAGGCTTCCTTGAAATCTCAGCCACCAGTTATCAGAGTGAACATAAGCCAACTAAGCAGGACATAACAAAAAGTGCTACCACATCCAATAACATTTGTTATCACTTTGCAAATGGCTCTACATAAGTGCACTGTTTTGTTTTGAATTAGGTACAGAAAGACTACTTCAATATGGTGATGCCAGACAAAGCCATTTTTCTTCACATTCCTTAAGGGGTAACTGAATCCAGAGCGTAATGGCAATTCCAGCTCTAGGAAGACTTCAACTACATGCGCTGAAAGAAGTTATAAATTTCTCAAAGGTGGTAAACTCAGTAGCTCCAGAAATAAATTGAATGGTTGTCTTAAAATACACAGAATCACAGAATGATAGGGATTGGAAG